TGCGTTCAATCCCAGGTACCAAGAGCAAGAATAACAAAAACAAACAACCAACAAACACATAGAACAGCTAGAAAGATTAGAAAGAAAACTAAAAAACTTCAAAAACTTGACTCAATGCTCTTCTGAAGATACTCTACCTAACAACAGAAAAACATAGTTTTTTGAAGTATGTTTTTTAAGTGTATATTGAAAATTCTCCAGCACTAATCATGCAGTAAGTCACAGAACAAGCCCAATAAAAAGTAACAACAAAACCAAATGAAATGGAAAAAGAACAGCAAAAGCTAGGAAAATTCACAAACATTTGGAAACAAGGCAATATTTACATAAGAAAATATCTCTTACCCATTTTTAAGGGTAAGAAAAGTAATCACAAAGAAAACATGAAATAATTTTATGTGAATAAAAATAAAAACATAGTATGCCAAAATTATGGCATACCACTCAAGAATATTTAGAGAAAATTTTATAGATAAAATAACTATCTTTTTGAAAAGAAGAAAGATTGGAAATCAGTGACGTTACTTAACTTTTTACCTTAAGACACTGAAGAAAAAATAAAAAATTAATCCAAATTAAGGACTAAGAAGGCCATAATGGAAATTATAATGCAGATAAATTAACTAATGGATAGAAGATAGTACAGCAAAATCAATTAAAACAGAAGTTGTTCTTTTGAATCAACAAAATTAACTTTTTAAGAAAAGTAGCTAACAAAAGGAGGGGTCCTTTACATCACTAAAATCAGAAATGAAAGAGGGATTATTATTACTGATCCAGCAAACATGAAAAGTAATATAAGACTATACTTACATCTATTTATTTATTTTTATTTAGTACAGGGTCTCACTACACAGATTGAACTCATAGTGATCCTCCCATTTTCAGCCTCTGAAGAGCTGGGCTTATAGTGTGCTCCACCACACCCACCACTGTCTCAGCACACCCCTGGGAGGTGGGGCCAGCAGACCATACTTATTTTTACCAAACTTTCTGGACACATTTGATAGTGTAGAATAAATGAAAAAATTCCTACTCCAAACTGTTTCAAAAAGAAATAGAAAATCTAAATAACATAACAAGATATTGAATTAATAATAATCAAAATGTTAAGTTAGGCTCAGATTGCTTCACAGATAACATTCTAATTGACATTTAAAAAAAAAAAGTAAGTCTTACCAAATTCTAGCAGAAAATAAAAAGGAAGGGATGCTTCCCAGCTCATCGTATAGTCCAGTTTAACTCAGAGGGCAAAACCAACAACATCACAACAAAAGAAAGTACATCCCAAAGTTTTGTTTGAATATAGATACAGGATTCCTCTGTAGAGTGCTACCAAAGCAATCTAGCCATGTATGAGAGTGACTTCACTGTATGTCACCTGAAGTTTACCTTAGGAGTGCAAAGTTGGCTCTACATCTGAAAATTAATTAATATAACACTATATCAACTAAATAAAAGGCAAACACCAGCATAATCTCAAGAAAAAAAAAAAGGACAAAAACCTTTATGAGAGAGAAGGAAAATAAAACCACTTAAACAGTTTAGGAATATACAACTTTCTCAAGCAGATAAAAGGCATCTGTGAAAGTCCACAGCAACTGTTAGAGCTGTGGATGGACAATGGAGCAGATAACATTCACAGATAACATTCTAATTGACATTAAAAAAAAAAAAGCTTGCCCCCAAGGTCAGGAATAAAGCACGCATGTAACCACTCACCAGCTCTATTCAACATTGTTCTGTAGCTTCTGCCACAACAATTAGATAAGAAATTAAATGGAAGGAAATCAAAAAGAATTAGAACTAATAAATGTTTTTGCACTTTTGCAGAATATAAAATCAAGGTGGGAAGATCTATCGACAGGCTGAGGTGGGAAGATCACAAGTTTGAGCCCAGTCTGGGCAAGTTCCTGATGTGGGAAGCTGCTATCCCCCCCAAAAAATACAAAGGGCTGGAGATATAGCTTAGTAAAAAGACCTTGGGTTCAATATTCAGTTCCACCAAAAATCCATGTAAGTCCATGATTAACAATGAATCATCTGAAAATAAAACAAAGAAAGCAATAGCATTCACAGTAACATAAAAAGTAAAATTCTTACTGATTAGTGTAACATAAACAGTGTAAAATCCATAATCTCAAGAACACAAAACATTGTTGAGTGAAAGAAATTAAAGAACTAGACAGAAAGACATTACATGTTTATAGACTGAATAATTTAATATAAGTAAACCATCAATATTTTCAAAATTAACCTCTAGACTCAACTCACAGTCAAAATCCCAGCTGACTTCCTTACATAAAATAACACAACACAAAGACCATCTGTTTCAGACTCAGTAATAGAAAGACAGTAATCTAGTTAAAATAAGATCTGAAGAGATTGTTACTCAAAGAAGACGTATAATTGGCCAATAAGATCTTTATGAAAATATGTTCAACATCATTAGAAGTTAGGGAAATTCAGATTAAAGCAATAATGAAAAATCATTTACAAACTATTACAATGACTCTTACTGAAAAACAACACAAAAACTCGGAAGTTAAAAAGTGTTGATGAGACCGTGGCTAAACTGTAGCCTCTGTGCGCCGCTGGTAGGGATGTAAAATGTGTAACGCTGTAGAACGCAGTCTGGTGGTGCTTCAGAAAATTAAAACAGAATCGACATTTGATTCAGCAATCACATTCTAGAGCATGTACACAGAAAGCAAAAACTTCAGCATGTATTTGTGTGTCACTTTCCATTAACCTCTATATACTGTATGTAAAATGTGGAAATAACCTTAATTCTTCCCTCAGTAACAGAGACATGGATAAAAAAAGATGGGGCATTTATACAATGGAATATTATACAGCCTTAAAAATAATATGATATAGCATGGCTGAATGAGTAAGCCACCCACAAAAGTCTGCCTATGCTGAATGATTCCATTTTCCTGTAATAATTGAATAGGTAAATCTATAGAGACAAAACCTAGACTAGTGGTCTCTAAGGGTAGGTGTAAGGGAGAAAACATGAAGAATGATTGCTCGTGGGTGTGGAGCATTTTCTTTTTTGAGGTTGGAAAAATGTTCTAAAATTGATTATTGTGATAGTTTCACAATTGTCTCTATGCACTACAATCCACTGAATTGTGCATCTTTAAATGGGTATGTATTTCTATGATAGCATTCAAATTTGTCCTCAATAAATCTGCCATTTAAAAAGTTAAGGAGGCTGGGGAGATAGTTCTAAGGTCTAAGTGCCTGCCTGGCAAGTGCAAGGACCCAAGTTCCATCCCAGGTACCACAAAAACAAAACAAAATAACTTTAAGCCTCAATCCCTCAGGAAGGACCTAGTCCTCACGCTTGTGTGTACAGGTAGTACTTCTGGTCGCTGAGGGATGGCTAAAAAGAAAGATGTGATAGTGTGGAGGTAAGTGTGGGGAATATAGAGCAAGGCTTTGCACTCATTGGATTCCAGGCAGACTGTCCGGGAGGGGTGTGTGGTAGCAGCGCACCCTGGTATTGATGAAGAGACAGAGCAGCCTGGTTGTGTGAGCAGGGTGACGTGAGGGAGGACCTCACTCAGGTTCTCACATCCTGTCAGCTAGGCATGTCAGGGAGGATTCCAAACAGTAGAGGCACTGGAGTAACCCGGGAGTGCAAAGACTGGGCACACTGCAAAGGGGCGTTTAGCAGATTGTAAGAATAAAGGTTATGTATGACATGGACAATGGATATCATTACAAAAAGACAGAAGGTGACCAGAATCAGATGGAAGTAGTGTATTTGTTGTTGATGTGGGAGTGCAGAGTGTGACAATCCCAGACCAAAAGGGAATGACAGGCCTCTGGCCTGGATCGTGTTGGCAAGGATTTGATGTCCTTTATAAGAACAGCCATGAAGCTGTCAAAGTTTACTTCCACATTTAAATAGTATTCAGGGAAGAAGGACCCACTCAGAATCTTAGAAATGGGAATACTCCTGACAGGAAATTCACAGTTTTAACTGACTAAATTTAAATTGTGGAACACTGGGGTTTTGGTCAAAGAATGTGAACACACCTGGAAGAGACTGACTTTTAAACCAGGAAGGACTGATGCACCCTAAAAACTTGAGATGATTTTTTTCTTTCCTGCATTGAAACGGAAAGTGCCAGTCACAAGGCTGTAACAGAAAATGCCCTCCCCCGACCCCAGCCAGTACACTTCAGCTTCTTAGTTGTTCCTGTTGTACTTCCACTTGCTTTTGTCTCCTAAAAATGGCTGGTCACTGTGAGGAGTAACTGGTCACTACGATGCATATTGTAAGCCTCAACCACCAACTGCTGAGCCATTCTGCCTCTGTGCTGCCCATTTCCGTATCCTGTAGAAGCCCTAGAACACCAGAGATGAGGGCCTGATGTTTTGCACATGCTCCCGATTAGAACCTGTCAACATAAATACATCTGCCTCCAACTTCTGGGTGTCTTTTCAGTATTTCTGTGTGTGGTAGCAACACATTGTGTTCAGTTACAGATGACAGAGAAAGCTACATTGCCTCATCATTATGCAGGATGAACAAACTTCAAATTGCTGACCATCCACCAAGGAAAGAGAATACTCAAGGAGTGATCAGAAAGTGACAAGCTCATGAAAAACCTAGCAGCTGGAGGCAGGCTGCATTTTCAGGCTGGAAGTCATCACACCTAGGATTGAGTGCGGCAATGCCACTAACTGGGACTTTGTAATTTTGGACATCACTGAATCTTTCAGCCCATTCAGCGGGCCTATAAGGAAGTTAAATTAGATAAGCAGTAGGATTCTTTTATCTCTAAAACACTGATTCTCAGGTCTTAGGTGCACACTGAGGAATCACACGGCTCATTCTGATCTAGCACAGATGGGTAATGTCCTTTAAGTGACGGAACCATCTTCCTTTGTCTTGGCCAGAGTCTAGGAGGCTAGGATAAAGTCTGTCTTGGCCAGAGTCTAGGAGGCTAGGATAAAGTCTGTGAGATATCGAGTGCAGTTACCTGTGGCGTGCCGATGGCTCCTCCTTGTGCAGTCACACTTCTCAATTAGCTCAGGATTCTGAACATCACCGTGGCAATTTGAACAGTAAAAGAAGGCTCTGGACAATGAAAGCAAACCAAGAGTGACTTATGGGAGGTTTTGTGCTAAGGAGGCACGGTGCTGACTCAGTCTGCCTCCCATTAAGTTCTATTTGCTTTAGTGCTTTCCCTCCATAAAGCAATAAAAAAAATTACCTCCTGACTTCTATTGGAGATTCAGCGATAAAGAACCCTAATGTGTTCTTATGCAGTTTCACTTGTGGAGGTGGATTTAGTATCAGACCACTGGAAATGGAAAATAAAAACACAGTCAGTTTTCCCTCTGATTTTTGTTGCAATATTTGATATTTCACTCTGTCATCATCCAGGGATTCTCTAAGCTGCCAAATTAATCGCATTCAATCTCCTTTCACTGTCAACGTGGAAAATGCGAATTTAACCTCATTTAATTCTTTGATTGGTGCTCAATATGCTGAGGGGAGCCAGGTGAAAACTTGATTGTTACCTGAGTTGCCTTCCTAGCTGAGCCACAGGGAAGTTCCTCCTAGGATTTGTAGCGTGAATCTAAGATGGTTCAACTGGTGCAAGCACATGATCGCTTGCTGATGGAGACTGGCAGAGGCCAACTAGGCCAACTAACAAGGACACACAGCTGCCCGTCTTGCTAGTAGTGCGCACCCTGGACTACTCTTTGTTATGATAAACTATGCTGAATCAACCACCTGGATTCAAAAGTTTCTTTTAATTTACTTACATAGGTTTTGAAAATGTACGTGTATTTTGATTTCAGCTTTGTGTATTCTGATTGCAAAATTTTTGAAAGCAGGAAACATATGAGTTATTTCTAGTTCTATATTACTTGAACATTTTGATTTTGTGTTTTCATCTGGCTCATATACTTAATATTGTCTGATAGATTTCTATATATGATGTGTCTTGATATAATATGCTATTATTATTATTTTTTGAGTTACTTAAACTCCCTGCTTGTAAGGATGTCTTGTCTTTTTTTTTTCAATTAATACTTCTAGCTTAATGAAAATTTCTCTTGCTTCTTTTTTTTTTTTTTTTTTACATGATGAAAGTACTCTTTTCCTCCTTGAAAATTCACACTGGAATGATGTCACATCTTAATTTTGCCTTCTTTGCTGTTAGGATAGTCCTGAATAAGTTGCATAAGTATGAAAGTGCTTACACCTGCAAAAAACCCTCCTAAGATCCATGACAAGGACTGAATGAGGCTTGCTAGCTGTGTTCAGTTGATTCTTAGTGGAAAAAATAAGCATATAATGACAGGGTGATAGAAATATGATTGGATTTGACCTTGAAAAAGAAAGATCACAGGTTTGTGGCTTCTCAAGTATTACTGGTTTATCTTTACTATCTAGAAAGCACATGATTAATGTGATTGTTGTATATCCTTCTCTTGGGGGGACCTGAATTCAAGTTGAATATATAGCTCTGAAGATTATATCTGATTGTATTTGTGAGATGAGGTGGACTTTAAGGATTATGACAATTAGAATTATTGTTTGTGCCCTATCATGAATCACGGCCAATTGCTCTACTTAAAGAACATTTGCCACTGGAATACATTCATCCCATTATGTGACTAGGGTCAGAATTAGCGTTATTTCTCAGCCAGCAAAATGTTATTTCCTGTGACAACCCCTTATGACCATCCAGGGCTTTTTGCAAGTCTTAGAGGTGATTTAAGTGTATCAATTAGAGGAGGAAACAAAGAGTGGGAAAACATAAGTTTCCCAGTATACCTGGGAAATACCTCCAGTATTTCAGTACCCTGGCCTGAGGCTTAGCTCCTGAGATACTTGGTGTTTCCTCTACTAGCAATGGCCACAATAGATGTAGTATAGCGCGGAGTCTAGAACCACAGTTCCCAGAGTCAGATTGAGTTCAGGTCCTGGGAGTTTTGCCACTTGGGAGTTGTGTGAGCTTGGAAAATTATTTAAGCTTTCTGAGCCTTGGCTTTGTGCTCTGTAAAATGAGAATGATAATCATGCCCATGGCCCAGCATTGTTTTGGGGGTTTAAGAGTTAATATACCTAACATTCCTGTAGAATATAGGTCCTGAACCTTCACTCGTGTAAGAAAATTCTGCTACTGATATCTTTCTACAATCAAGGTATAATTGCTTTGCTT